TAATTGGTGATCAATAAGTGTCCCTTTTCAATGATGCACAACTTCCTGAGGATATCTTTGTTCTAGCCAACCCTGACCACAATACTAATGAATGTTGGGACATCCCTGGTCTCTCAATTGCTCCTATTGGATCTGGCCAAGCCATCTGTAACTTACAAGGATTGTGCCACTGTGAGTTGAGTATAAGACTCAATTTCATGAATAAACTCAATTTCAAACAAAGATGGGAAGGAGGCAGAATCAGGGGAAAAGGTAACTGGTAAGTGCAACCAGGAGGTGGAAAACGTTGACTGAGGTGATCTGAAGGTAGGGCATCAATAATTAAAATAAGGCAGGTGACAGTGGTTATCAGAAAGGGTGGTGGTAGCATTGGGTGGGGGAAGGGAGGATGCGGGCTGTAGCTATGACTGATGGCACAGCCATTCATTCTGTTTCAAATATTGGCTAATTATTTTGAACAATTATACTTTTCTGGTAGTAGCCAGCAGTGGTCCCTTATAGGATTACATGCTATGCTGTGTGCAGATCTGATTTTCCCTGTCTTCAGCCTTGTGCTGGCTGCCTCAGGGAATATCAATATTGTAGGCAGTGCTTCAGACAGTGATTAGGCCCCTTAATCTGTCAGCAACACTGGAGGCCTAGCTATCCTGTTTAATAAACCAGCATCACAAATCTAATTTTAAGGCATAAAAATACCAAAGAGTTGAAGGTTCTGGAAATCAGAAACAAAGTAGAAATTGCTGGGAAAACTCAGAGGGTCTGGCAGAATCTGTGTAGAGAAGGCAGAGCAAACATTTTGGATCCAGTGATCCTTCTTCAGAACTGAATGTAGCTAGGAAAGGTGGTATATATGTTGAAGATGAGGTGAGGGGACAGGGGAGGAGTAAACGATGGAGTCCAGAGAGATAGAGAACAACAGTTGGGCAGATAATGGAACAGGTAAAGTTAACATGGGAGAATCAGTGGGTTTGTGTATAGTGCAGACCATGTGATGACAAGGGCTGGTATGAGGGAATTGGGTAAGAACATGGGAGAAGGTGCTAATGCTCTAAAATTATTGAACTCTGTTGCAAAGTATTTGTGAATTGGAAGGCAGGAGGTTAGAATTTGTTGGTAAAAATGATGGTGGGAAAAAGTGTGCGTAGTCACTTTAAGGGGGGAGTTTTTTTTGTGCTTAGGGATTTTTAAAAAATGTATGTCTGTGAGCAGTATCTGGTGGTTGCCAGTACAGACAGCCTCAAAAGTGAAACAAGTGTATCAAAAAAAAATCCTTACAGATGGCAAGCAAAACAGCAGTCTTGCTTTGATGTTGTGACAAGTTTGAATTTGGCCAATTAATTTAAAACAAGCACCTAGATACAGAAAACCAATTGGATTTAAATCTGATGGTGTTGACAACATTGAACCAATCCTACGTAAGACATACTGTTATGTCATTACAGGTTTAAAGATGAGGGCATTTCTGAAAATCGGGAGACAGCCAACTGCCATCTGAAAGAGTGGGCCAACGTTTAGCTATAGCGATAAAGAAGTGTAAGACTGGCTCTCACAAACTTCATAAGCTCTCCAAAAAGAGCCATCAAAAGTACCAAGGCAGTTTACGTTAAAGACTGCATCGATGAAATTGCAGAGAAACCCTTCTAACAGCAGAATTGGCAGAAGAAAGGCATTTGTGGCAGAGAGTTCTAGAAGACACACAGTCTGTGTGAGTTTGGAGAGATTAATTTTTAATTTATTGTTTTCTTATTGATCAGGTTTATATAAATGGGTCTTGCATCTATTCGAATAGCATTCCATTAGAATTTAGTTAAGTTAGGGAATAGCTAGTACTTAGGGGAAATTGTTCAGTATTTTAGTAATTCTGTTAATTTGTTCATTGTTAGAGTTAAATAAATAAACTGTTTCTTGTTATTTATAAAGTGGAAACTGGGGATTGTCTTTATTTTAACAACTATTAACAGGTTATGAGGGGAAAGGCAAGTTTCTCTGGGTGTTCTGGGGGGTAATAATTAGAGGGGAACCTCTATTCACGTCATAACAGATTGGGGCTTGCGTTTTAGTTTAATCATCAGAGGGGTTCGGCTATTCTCCCTGTGTAACAAAAATATGTGGAAGCTTGTCCGGGATTTTTATCCGGGACCTCTTGCACCCCAAGTGAGAATCATACCCCAGGATATTGAGTCCCAAAGGCTGTAGGGTTCCCAGTGATGCTGTGCTTCCAGAAAATGAGATGCTGTACTTCCAGCTTGCGCTCAAGCACTGTAGCAAGCCTGAGACAGAGATATTGGCCAGGGAACACGATGGTGCTTTGAAGTGGCAGGCAACAGGAAGCTCAGGGTCATTTTTGCAGACAGAACAGTTGCTGTGCAAAGCGGTTGCCTTGTCTGTGCTTCATCTCCCCAATGTAGAGCAGATGGCATTGTGAGCACTGAGTACAGAAGACTACCTTGAGTCAACTACAGGCAAATAACTGCTTCATCTGGAAGATGTGTCTAGGGCCTTGGATAGTGAGGAGGGAGGAAGTAAATGGGCAGGTGCTACAGGAAGACGGGACAGCCCTGAGTCTATCCTGATGGGGAATGGATGTCTAAAGGGATTACAGGTCCATGGTGAAGAAGAGGTGACTGGAATCCACGAACTGGAAATTCTGAAACTGACATAAAGTGTCAGAAAGCAAATGTAAGTGGGAAGGGACTGGACAAGGGGAGAAAAAATTGAGTCAAGGTAGGAAGAGATAAGTTCTGTAGGGTAGGGATGGGCAGAAACAATGGGTCTGCCCAGGCAATCCTCTTTGTTGAATTTGGGAAGGAGGTAGAAGCAGGCTGTGGGGCTGGGGACTATGAATTGGAGGCAGTGGGAGGGAGTTGCCCACATGAAATGAGATTAGTGACCATTGTGGACACAATAACCTGGTGTACAATGGTGGGGTCATGTTCCAGGCAGAGATAGGAGAAAGTGGCGCTCAGCCACTGCAATGCAGAGGCCAGAATGTCAGACAGCAACAATGTCATCCTTGTTGACAGGCTTGATTACATAGTCAGGGTTGGATCTGAGGCAAATTTTAAGGCATGTTGTTATATCCTTTTTAATAAAACAAATCAATTATTTCAGCATTTGCACTGTGTATCATGAGCTCATGCTCCCTTCCAAAATGAATTTGTGCCAATTATCTGCAAAAATGAATTTACATTCTCTTTGTCGTTTAAAAGGTAAGAACTGAAGTATTGCTGAGAGAAGATATATTTCGTTGAAGCTTATGTTTTGCATTCATTGGGGCAATTCACAAGACTAACACTTTAAGGGGTAAAATCAACATTTATAATGTATAAAATTAGGATTATTTTAACTGCGTAAATTGGGATTCTTGGGATTTGTCCTGATGAACGCCAGGATGAAACTCTTTAATAACATATGACTTTTTCAACAATACTCATTAATGTTAATTTTCCTGTGAAAAACATTGCTTGCTGACAATATATTATAGTTTGGTCAAACCAAACTGTTTGATTCAGTTGGGTGAATTTTGGTTTTTATCATTAGATAGAGCACTATACATAGCTTAATCCTTCATCTTTGAGCAGTTAAAATTTGATAATGACCTGACTAACTTGTTTTCTCTGAAGCTGCATTCCTTTCTGACTGTAATATTATTACATTAATTAATCCAAGGAAAGTCACAGCACCTTCCACAGCCATTAGGTAGGACTCAGGCTTAGAGGCAAGAATGCTTCCCATCACATCAGTTGGCCTCCTAACTCTTGACATAGATTTCAGCTTATTTAAAACATCCATAAAAATAGTTAAGGAATGCATTATTGGAATCTTAAAAATCTATTAAAGTTTACAGAAATATGTTAAACCATTGGATGTATTAGGATTTAAAAATAACATATGATATGGGGCATATTTAATGGAGGCTTGTTGTATTGTAACAAACTAAAGCAGACTGAAAGCAACAGTGGTAAAACCATGAATGCATACCTCATTACAATTGGAATGGACTGGAAATGCTGTCATAGTAAAAGAACAAACACTTTATGGATAGAAATAAAAGTTATACCTTCAGCATGTATTAGATAGAATACATAAAATTACAATCTACTACTTGAATATACTGTGGATTTGGAGCACAACCAAATAGTCATTGAGTTATAACATATCAACAGTGACCTGGTAAATAACACGGTGGTCCATTTAAATTAACTATACTCTGATCGTTACATTAAATTGGCAAATACGGCTGGATAAAGAAAATACAAAACAAAATAAGTTTTAAAGTTGATCCCTAAATATTTGTATCTTGGCCTTACATCATTTTTGTGTCATACTGGATATATTGGGTGGATATTCCCAACATGCGAAAGGTACATTTGTAAATAGCAATTCTATCTCCTTCCTGTCTTTTTAAAAACATTTTGTAAAAGTTACGTTGCTCATTCCCATCCACCTGCTTACGTTAACTGTAGTAATGGCATGGGCATGGTAAAGGAAAGGTCAATTGAGCTTTTAACAATTAACACTTAATTATTTATTTACATATGATGGGTGGGATGGCCATTTTGACACTCACCAGATAAGCTTGGTGGCTGGTGTGAAGATGATCGGGTGGTTATTTTACATGTCCCCACTCCTGACCATCGAAAACAAGCCTGGTGGGCACACATAAAATCCAGCCCACAGTGTTATAGCACTGTTAAATATTCATGTTTAAAAATTACTTGAATTTTTAAAAATCATTGTTAGCCATATATAGTTAGCAGATAGTATGCAGGAATTTCAGCAATGTATTCTAATCTCTGGTTTCAGATACTCATAATTGTTCATGTTTCATTTATGCTGTTAAATTTGACATCTGATCCCAATTTGATTACAGGAAATACTTGTAATTCTTTCTCTGCTATTGATGATTCTACATGTATTGACACTGTTCAAGTGTGAATTCAAGGATACCAAGATTATCAGAATATCAAGTTTATTAAAATATGATAAAAGTCACTCACTGTTCTCGATGTTGGGGGTGCCGATGGGCTTGTAAGTGACACCATCTCTTGGATCGCCAGTCTGAGTTTTAAGCGATGAAGAGGATTACTGATTCCAATTTCTCTTTGGATCTCAGTGTCAGACAGGGCAGACATGATGGCACCACTTTTCACATTTGCACGGCAAGCAGCAACATACCATGCAGGCATTCCAAGCCACAGCTATATAGCAGAAAAACATAATTCACTCATTCTCCAGATTGTTAAAGTATGCTTAAGTGGCTAACACACAATATACAATTAATGTACAGGAAGGTATTTATAATAAACAGTAACAATTCATTCTACTCACTCAATAAGTTGATCTGTACATGGCATGTTTTTGCAACAAATGGAACACCATATATTAATTAAATTTGCTTTCCATATTTTCTTCCTGTTTTGTTTTTCTTTCAATATATTTTATTTTAATCTACCTCTCCATTCATTCTCTGATTCATTGATCCAAAAGTATTGTCAAATTTCTTGTTTCAACAGCAAGCAGTAGTTCTTGACTATAATACCATTGTCTCTGCTGTCAAATTTTCAGGCTTGCAGCAATGGTAGCTCTTTTGCCCTTCGTAGCTCTTAGGGCACCCTGGCCCTTGCCCATAACTCGTTCTCCAGTACACTGATGTCTTCATTGATGCTGCTTTCCTCTCTCATCCGGAATTGGAAAAACTTATTTATTTCACTTCCAATTTTCACCCTGCTCTCATCTTCACGTGGTCCATCTCTGACTCCTCCATTTGCTTCCTCGACATTCCCATGACAAACCTACTGACTCCTCAGTTACCTTGATTATACATCCTCACACCTTCATTCCTGGAAAGACTCTATTCCATTGTCTCAGTTTCTCTGCCTCTGCTGCATTTGTTCCGAAGATGCCAGCTTCTACAAGGGTGTCTCCGAAATGTCCACCTTCTTCCTCAACCGAGATTCTCCACCACCTTGGTTGATAGGGCCCTCAACCCATGTCCGATTCATCTCCCACATTTCAACCCTCACCCCCTCTCTTCCCTCCCTTAACAGTGAGGGTCATGCTCCCAAGAAACCCACAGCACCTTACCATGCGATCACAGCATGTAACATCTGCCTGTTTACTTCTTCTGTCCTCACTATCCAAGGCCCAGACACACCTTCCAGGTGAAGCAACAATTTTGCTGCTCACAATTTGGTCTCCTCTACACTGGGGAGATTAAACACATATCAGGCGACTTGCATTACAAACACCTATATTCTGTCTGCAAGAATGACCCTGAGCTCCCTGTCGCTTGCCACTTCAACCCACTAACTTGTTCCATGGCCAATATCTCTGCCTCAGGCTTGCTGCAGTGCATCATTGAAGCTCAGTGAAACCTGGAATAACAGCAACTCATTTCTGCTTTGGACCTCTGCAACGTTCAGGGCTTAATATCGAGTTGAATAGTTTTAGGGCCTGAACACCCTTTCCCATGTCACTACCTTAATCCCCACATTCCAGGCCTTGTTCTCACATGGGCTGCTACCATAACCATCCCACTGTCAGCTACTTATGGTCCCAATTAGCAGCTATTGAATCACCCAGACTGACCTCTACCCGTTCCTTTTTCTGTCCAACTGTTGTTCTCTTTCCTTGGTCTTCATCACCACAAATTGTTTACTCCACCTTCCTCCATCCACCCCATCTTCAGCATATATACTAACCTTTACTAAGCTACAATCAGTTCTGAAGTAGGGTCACTGGATCTGAAATGTTAACTCTGCTTTCTCTCCACAGATGCTGCTAGACCTGCTGAGTTTTCCAAGGAATTTCTGGTTTTTCTTCTGCAGTTCATTTGTCCACTCCTTCAAAGCTAAATTTTGCCATGGAACTCCTATGCTGGGAGAGTGTCTGGGACACATAAAAGACAAAAACCAAGGAATCCAAGTTGTTTGGGTTCTGACCAAAATAAGCTGCAAGGCTGATGTCTTAATCGAAAAATCAGTTCAATTTCTAAAACAAGATCAGGATAAGAAAAAAAAGCACTCAGTGTATAACCAGAATATGAGCTGGGAACATATATGCATAACTCATAATCAAAAAACTGCGCTATTTTCTTGTTCTGGTTCATTGCCTTTCATTTACAAGAGTTTTCCAACTGGCTGCTGAAATAACCTTATAGAGGCAGGGGAATATCATCACCAAGTCATCCTTTACTCACACATGAGCAATCCTTCACTACAGTACTGCCTCTTACAGAGTCAGGCACCAGACTGTCAGTATCTCTGACATTCAACCCTTTTATGTCAGCCTGGGCTCCCTGATTGGACCAGATTAACAGCCCCAATCTGGGAACTCGTTCTACGAGGGCCAGCTGGCTGCCCTCATTACAATCATTACATCCCTCTCCCTCTGAATCCATGGACATAGGCTAGTCCTTTTTCTAGGTCAGCCTCCTGGGGCATTTTAGCACGGGGTCAGGTTTCTCCGGCTTGGCATCTGACACCAGTGGCATGTAATGCATGGGAGCTTCCCTCTTGCACCAGCAGCACCTCACTAGAATTTCACTCTTCTTCTGGTGGCAAAGGAGTCGAGGTGACTACTTCTGTCACGTCCATCTCTGATTCAGAGGCCCGAGTTATGCCTGTCTCTTTGTGGGGTATGTGGAACATTCCTTGTTCCAGTCTTATTCCGGTTTCCGTCCAGCACTCTTTCTCTGGTATATTGATGATATCATCTGTGCTGCTTCCCTCTCTCATCCTGAATTGGAAAAGTTTATCTAATTCACTTACAATATCCACTCCACTCTCAACTTCACCTGGTCCATCTCTGACTCCTTCCTTCCCTTCCTCGACATCTCTGTTTCCATTTCTGGGGATAGGCTGGCCACCAATATCCACTAAAAACCCAGTGACTTCCACAATTACCTTGACTATACATCCTCACACCCTGCTTCCTGTAAAGACTCTATTCCGCTGTCCCAGTTACTCCCTCTCCATTGCATCTGTTCTGATATTTGCCAATTTTGACAAGGGGGTCTTTGAAATGTCAAACTTCTTCCTCAACCAAGGATTCCTAAGCACTAGTCAATAGGGCCCTCAGCCAGGTCCGACCTATCTCCTGCACTTTGGCCCTCACCAGCTCTCTTCCATCCAACAACAGCAACAGGGCCCCCCTTTGTTCTCACCTACATCTCACCAGCATCCACATCCAAAGGATCATTAACTGCCATTTCCACTGCATCCAGTGGGATGCCACCACCAGACACATATTCCTCGCTCCTACCTTGTCAGCCTTCTGCCAGGACCATTCCCTCTGGGTTACCCTGGTACACTCCTCCTTCACTTCCAACATGCCCCCACAGTTCCTTGGCACCCTCTCCTGCAATTGCAGAAGGTGTAACACCTGTCCATTTACTTCCTCCCTCCTCCAACGCCCCAAACACACCTTCCAGCTGAGGCAGGACATTATGGGCACTTTACTCAATATAGTCTACTACATTCACTGCACACGATGTGGTCACCTCTACATTGTGGAAACGAAGCGCAGACTGGATTACTGCTTTTCAGAACATACGCATTCTGTCCACAAAAAACACTCTGAGCTTCCAGTTACCTGCTACTTCAACACACCACTGTATTCCCTGGCCAACATTTCTGCCTTGGGCTTGCTGCAGTGCCCCAGTGAAGCTCAGCGCAAGCTGGTGGAACAGCACTCAGTTTCCACTGGGAACACTGTAATCTTCAGGACTCAATATCGAGTTCAATAATTTTAGGGCTTGAAGCCATGTCCTTACCTCAACTCCCACACACAACCCACTGGCATGTACTAATAGTCCTGATTAACAGCTAATGCCCTAGACTGACCTTTAACCACTCCTTTCTTTGTCCAACTGTTTTTCTGTCTCTTTGGGCTCTATCTTCACTTACCGTTTACTCTTCTCCCACTCATCAACCCATCTTCTACATAAATAGCAATCTTTTCCATGTTACCATCAGTTCTGAAGAAGGGTCACTGAACCTGAACTGTTAACTTTGATTTCTCTCCACAGATACTGCCAGATCTGCTAAGTTTTCCAAGCAATTTCCATTTCTGTTTTTGTTTCTGATACAGAGGACTCGACAATTTTTGGCAGAGAGGGTGAATCCAGCAGCATTTCTGAAGGTTGCGAGAAGCAGGGCACATTTTGCTCCTACAATGTTTGCAAATTCGTGGCTTTCATATGGTCCACATGACTATACAGGACTGTCACACCTACCTGAACTTTATACATCACCGGTCCTGACCTTGTTTCAACCATGCCTCTTACCCATGCAGGGCCGTTTATGTGATTCTTACACCAAATGTCACCCCCTCTGTCAAACTGTCTCTCTCGCTTAGTGGAGTCTTGGGTCTGGCAATGGAGTTTCTAATGCTGTTTCACCCTCCCCCCACCCCGGTCTGGGAATATCAAACTTAACCTGGTGCAAAGTCTTCTTTAGAAACACTTCAGCTGTTATCCCTGTAGTTGCATGTGGGGTAGTCCTGTAATCAAACAAGAACTGTGACAGTGTGGTATCTAGCGTGGCTGTAGGCTATTTCTTCAATCCAACCTTCAATGTTTCAAACCCTCTTTCTGCCAGGCCATTGGATGATGGTTGGTATGGAGCAGTCCTTAAATGTTGAATGTTATTTGTCTTTTAGAAACAACCAAATTCCCTGCTGATGAATGATAGCCCTTTATCTGTGACTAATACTTCCAGGACTCCGTGCGTTGCAAAAGATGTTTTTCTATTGTTGTTCCAGTGGTTGACGAATGGAGCTTTTGTCTATCCAACCACTTTGAGTGTCTACAATGACTAAGAACATTGAACCTAAGAAAACACCTGCATAGTTGACATGCAACCGAGTCTAAGACTCAGGGGCGGCATGGTGGCTCAGTGGTTAGCACTGCTGCCTCACAGTGCCAGGGACCCGGGTTTGAGTCCACTCTTGGGCGACTGTGTGGAATTTGCATGTTCTCCCTGTGTCTGCACGGGTTTCCTCTGAGTGCTCCGGTTTCCTCCCACAGTCCAAAGATGTGCAGGCTAGGTGGATTGGCCATGCTGAATTGCCCATAGCGTTCAGGGATGTGCAGATTAGGTGGGTTATGGGGAATGGGTCTGGATGGGATGTTTTAAGGGTCAGTGTGGACTTGTTGGGCCAAAGGGCCTGTTTCCACACTGTAGGGATTCTATGATCTATGATCTACCTGGCCATTCCCACAGATGTGGGGGAGCTGCTGGTGGTAACCTTTGTCTTTGTTGAAACCCTGGGCACTCCCCTTTTACTGCAACCATGGCTGCATCCAAGCCTGGCCACCAGGCATAACATCTCATCAACAACTTCATTTTGGAGATTCCTAAATGGCCCTGGTGGAGCTCAGTCAGTATTTGATGGTGACCTTTGCTTGGGACAATCACTCTTGCTCCCCAGAACAGTATTCCGTTCTCTACCATGCGCCGATCTCTCCAGGTCCAAAAAGTTTTCAAATCTAGTTGTGACGGCCCTTTGGTTTCCCCCATTAATACCAGTCACTTCAGTTTGGAAAGGAGTGGATCTTTCTGTGTCCAAAGTCAGATATGGTTAGCTGTGACTGGGAGCACATGCAGAAAATTTAATATCATTACAGATGCTTCAATTTGGGGTACCATCTATGGTGTATCCGCTAATGGGAGGCTGCTCACATTCACTCCTTGCACTCCTGGATGATGTTCTAAGTTGTAATTGTAAGTGCTTAGTATTAGAGCCCACTGCTGAACACTATGGGCGGCAATGTTTTGTCCTTTTTAAGCAGTCAAAGTCAGAGTTTGACGTTTGTGATTATCACAAATTACCATCCATAAAGATATTGGTAAAACTTCCTAACTCCAGATATGACCACCAATTTTTTTATATCTGGGAGTACTTATGGTCTGCATTAGCCAAAGTCCTGGAATCATAAGCTATTGGGAGTTCCTCTCCAGTGGACCACCAATAAACCAGTACCATCCCGATGCCATATGGGGAGGCAACGCTTGTCAATACCAGGTCTTTCTTGGGATCATTTTATGCCATCACATTAGAGGATGATAGCTGTTTCTTTATTTCATTGAAAGCTAGGGCATGTCTATGAGACCATTTCCAAAGCTGACCCTTTTTTAGAAGTTAATGTAAAGGAGCCAGGAGAGATGCCAGGTTGTGTATGAACTTGCAATAATAATTTACTAGCCCTAGAAATGACCTAAACACCTGGACTTATGTGGGACCAGGGCACCTTTGACTTTATCTTCCAACAGATGTGACCCGGCCTTGTCAACTCTGCAGCCCAAGTAGGTCACTTAGGGAGCCTGGAACACACATTTTCCCTTCTAAGGCATACGCCTACCTCGGAAAAATTCCTTAGGACCATACCTAAGTTCTGTACGTGTTCCTTATTGTTTTCCCTGTAACCAGGACTTTATCTAGGTAAATGGTGACCTGAGTTAGACCTGCAAAAATATTTTCCATTGTCTGTTGAAAAATCAAACAAGCCATCAATACCCAAAATAGCAGTGTCATATATTGGGACAAACGCTTATGGGTATTAATTGTAGCATACTTCTGGGAATCCTGGTCTAAATGCAAGCAAGCGTGACTCAAGAAGCTTCGTGTAAGGACAGCACCCCACCCGGCTAGCTTTGCATTTAAATCCACTATCCGAGGGATTGGGTATTTATCCAGTTGCAAAAAAAGGTTTATGGTTCATTTAAAATCTTCACAAAGATAAACTGATCCAACAGGCTTCAAAATCAGCATGAGTTCAGAGCGAATTTTATTAAAAACTGGTTCTGCAATCACTGATTCAGTCACACTGGTATCGGCCTCCATTACAAGCGGATGACCATTTAACCAGATATTTATCCTGACTGGCTCTGTTTTGGACGTTGCTAAACAATTTAACTGTCCCAGATCAGGTATAGGTAGACTTTCCAGGGTGTGAACTCTCCTGGACATCCTCCTAGATTCCGGCCTATGAATCATCTTACTCAGTTTAGGTGCAGTAGGACACTTTTTGTGTCTCAAGTCCGTATACTGGCAACAACTACAATAGCTTACTGACCAGGATCCTGAAAAAATTTTTAACCATTTGGCAGAGGCTTGTCTTTGTTTTGGGGTTTTGCTGTGGGTTAACCTGGAGTCCATCTGATCACAATATATTCTCAATGAGGCTATACAATTGCCTGCACTCAAGTGTGTTCCTCAAGCTCAGGCAGACTGGCGAGGGAGTCCACTTCCAGTTGTATACTTTGAAACTCGTATGCTGCACTTGCCACATTTCCTAATGATAAAGCCAGTGGAAGCACCTGTTTCAAATCCAATTGATCTTCAGCTGGCAGGCATTTTTGCATAGTTTTATCCTTAATTCTGCATCCCAGACTGCCTCTAAGCATCTCCTTAAGTGTTAAACCAAATTCACAGGCTTCTCTGTCATCTTGACCCAGTCAAAAACCCCGATACAGATTTTCCCGGTTCTCGAATTGCTGAATAAAAGTGATAGCACTTTAGAATTAGAGGAGACTTGGGTTAGTAATATTCCTAAATTATTTCAGTCAATTCTTGAAAGTTTTTCACATCTCATGTGTCAGGGAAAGCTAGGCTCCTAATGACAGAAAAAGCTGCAGCTCTACAGGCTGTCGGGAGAATTACTCATTGCTTTTCATTTGTCACAATGTCAATTGTCTGGAAAAATAATGCATTCTTTCCACGTACTAGGCCCAAATCTTTGATACTCTCAATTGAGAGACAACTGTGGTTTAACCCAAGGACCACCACATTTCAGGCAGGAGGCAAGGTTGAGAAAGTGGGACCTTATCAGCAACCTCAGAAGCAGAACCTCAGAAGCTGGAAGAGCACTCCAAGTGTCTTACACTTGGGATTGGGAGTGGAGTCATGGAGGTTAAAAAAAGAGGAAATTGAGCCTTAAGAAGTAAATCAACTTGATCAACTTCTTGGGAGCATTAAACAAAAGCTTTAAAACATTTGGGAATCTTAGGAATTATATAAGTAATGTTATAAATGAATTAGCAAAAACTAATTATCCTATAATAGAATAACATTGTTTTGTGTTACCAGAGTATATAGCAACAAAAATAAAATTATTAATATAAAAATGAAACAATAGATCCATTTTGAATAAAATTAATTTTTGTAGCTATTCTCCCACAGAAATAACCTGTAATTGTAATTTTATAGTTTTATACTTCTGCTACGAAGGCTTACCAGTTGGGAGGTTATATTAAGAACTTGGATATTAGCATCCCACAATTTTAATTTAATTAATTGTTTTGGCAGCGAGGTAGGGCAGGGATGTCGTTAGCCATTCAAACAATCTGAGATACAAACTGCCAGAGATGCAAATTTATGAAGTTTACCCTTGTAATGTCAATAAATCGAACAATGAAAACCATTCCAGTAGAAAGATTTTTGTTTAAATGAATTGTTGTTTAGTCACTTATAAATAGCACATATTGCTCACACAGATTAGTGAAATAATTTGTTAGTGCACTGTTTTTATTCAGCTCTACCTCAAGCCACGCGACGACTGTCGGTCCATCCCATTGTGCAAATGGCAAACCTTTTCTCCGGGCTTCCTCTAACAATTCATGCCTGCAAAGAAAGCCAAAAATCTATACTTGGAAATTGGTCTTGTATTATATTTGGCCATTCTTTATAGCTTAACTTGGACATGGTTCTCAGTTCAAACAAAGAAAGGTGGTGGTATAGGATTATTGTTCAGACTGGAAGCCTGTGACCAGTGGTGTGCTGCAAGCATTGGTGCTGGGTCCTCTGTTGTTTGTCATTCATATAGATGATTTGATTGAGAATATAAGTAGCATGGCTAGTAAATTTGCGGATAACATCAAAATTGGCGGTATAGGAGACAGTAAAGAAGGTTACCTCAGAATACAATGGGATCTTGACCAACGGAGCCAGAGGGCCAAGAAATGGTGGATAGAGTTTAATTTAGATAAATGTGAGGGCAGGACTTACACAGTTAATGATAGGGCCCTGGGGTAAAGAAGACGTTTAGCGTGCTTGCCTTCATTGGTCAGAGCATTGAATACAGAAGTTGTGCGTCATGTTATGGCTGTAGAAGACATTGGTAAAGCCATGTTTGGAATACTGCATATAATTCTGGCACCCTACTGTATGAAGAATGTTATTAATCTAGAAAGTGTGCAAAAAAAGATGTAGAAGTTTGTTACTGAGGCTGGAGAGTCTGAGTTATAAGTAGAGGCTGGATAGGCTGGGACTTTTCTTTCCCTGGAGAACAAGACACCTTATAGAGGTTTATAAAATCATGAGGGGCCTAGATAAGGTGAATAGCCACGATCCTTTCCCCATGATAGGGATGTCCAAAACTAGAGGACGTAGATTTAAGGTGAGAGGTAAAAGATTTAAAAGGCACCTGAGGGGCAACATTTTCACAGAGGGTGGCATGTATATGGAACGAGCTGCTAGAGGAAGTGGTAGAGTTGAGTACAATTACGACATTTAAAAGGCATTTGGACAGGTACATGGATAGGAATGTTTTAGAGGGATATGGGCCAAACACAGTCAAGTGAGACTAGTTCAATTTAGGAATCCTGGGTCGCATTGATGAGTTGGGCCGAAAAGTCTGTTGCCGTGCTGTATGACTCTATGGCTGTATAAAAATTAAGGGTGAAATATATTGTCAGCAAGAGCATAAAATAAGAAATAATTGAACAGCAGTATGTTTCAAATCCCATTTGACTTAATTTACCATGAAAAAGATAGAACTGGAGACTTTCAATTCACGATCATCCATTTTGCATCACCCCTGAGGGCAAGTTTCATCATCTTTGTTTTTAAGTAGCACCTTTCATGTCTTCAGGGCATTCCAAATCTGCCATTATTCTTCTTAAGGAGTAATCACTACTTTATTATTGAAAAACATGTGAGCCTATTTGTACTCATTGATGTTGTACAAACACAAATTATTGGTTAACGATTCTTGATGTCATTGGACAAAGGAAATCTTTTGCCAGATCACTGGAAAAGCTGCATGCTCTTCATAACTTTCTAGTGACCTGTTCTAAAGTTTCAACTAAGTGAAGTTTCCTCTGACATACTGCATGCCCTTAATAAACTGAAATCATTATGTGGAAAAGAAAGTAACACTTCTGGCTCAGAGATTAAATTGCTATCAAGTAACCCAATGAATACTTCAGTTGAATGTAACTGCAAGACCAATATGAATAGCCTCCAATGAAACTCTATGTAAACTCAAAGAGCTTTCAAATAGGCAATTTACAGCCAAAAAATCTCAACGTCAGTTCAACAGTTTGAGACAGTAATTTTTCCTTCCGCTTGATTTTCTTCCCAAGGATAGTGTGTGTTACTCTCCACTATTTTTTACTCTTGTGCATTTTTTGATTCTGTTCAATGAAAGCCCTGGAAGTCAAATGGAAAACATTGTAGCAATGTTTGCCATTGGACTGAGAATTTTGCACTGGGGTCATTAGCCATGCCATTTGAAGTAACATGTTGTTACTCACAACTCATGAGCAAATGCAAAAAAATGATGCAGGTGGTTGCAAACATTCCTGGAATCTGGAAGTCATGCAAAATGTAAGTATTTAGAACTTCCTGGAATGTGTGCACAAAACTACAGGAATAGTTTCATGTGGTTACAACATATGTTTGTGCAATTTATATTTGTCGGTTTCTGTTTCAAATCCACAAATCTTGAGTTCCCTCCTATTTGCATTGCACATTGATTTCCCAGTCTGGGAGACCTTATTTTGAAAAATGATTCAGAGAAAGATGAAGGTTTTAAACTTTTCCTTTGAGTCATTCATCCTCTATCCTTGTCCTCTTTAATACACTTTTTCTATAAAACTGTAAGTATCCCTCTTTTCTATAATGTCCCATCTGTCCTTCTTCAATCTTCCCCTGTGATTATCTCCCTTCATATTCCTCCTGTTCTCTCTGATTCCATACCGATAGAGAACTCAATGCCTACCCTTACCCATATATGCCCCATTTCAGTACACCTGATCACTCTCCCTCCCAAACACACAATCATTGCATTGTGTTCTGCACTCTTGATATGCAGCTTCCACCCATCCTTATCCCCTTGTCCCTAACAGAGATTTGCCCCCATTCATCCTAGTTAGCTTGCCCCAGTATTCCTTCCATTGTCCTTCAAATTCGTACACTCTATGTTTCATTCTCTATCATTTTTTCCTTTTCAATCAACCTTTCTACAAACCTTTTCTTTTGAGTCTTCTTTCATAGAGCCCCCTTTTCATTTCAGATGCCTTTTCAGTTGAGATCATGTCAGGTTTGCTCACATCAGCCAGTGTGGCTGCCTCACTGGGGCAGGCTACTGGGCTCCATCAGTCTTCATGCCTTACACTGTCAGCATTTAACTACAACAAGTAACAGCATAGATGACTATGACTTCTCATGAGCTTGCTGAGCTGGTGACACTTCATCTCCTGCACTGCAAGCTTTTGTTCAAAGAAATGGCTTTTTATGAAGGAGCCAAGTAACAGAAGTTTGTACTCACCAGGGCTTGAAGAAGGTTGGCTACCCCACCAAATACATGACTCATATATAGCTGAGTTTGTGTAAACACATATTTCTAGTTGTTGGCTAACAATATTGTGCCCTTGAATGTAATGCAGCTGATTAGACTGTTAATGAGTATGCACGACATGTTACTGAATGCAAAAAAGGTATCTGCTTTGACCTACATGAAAGGTTCTGACAACCCAATTGCTAAACTTTAAACTGCAGTGAGGAACCTGAGATTTTGCATTCTGTCCAATTAGATTCCCCAAACCATCTTTCTAAAACTTCCATCCTGTCCCTATGTTTCTCCCTTCATAAATGCTACCTGGCCAGCTGAGTACTTCCCACATTTTCTTTTTTTTTTTATTACCTTTAGACTCAACTCAACAGACAGTTCTGCAATACAGCTGTCTGTGTGCCCATCTTCAGCTTGTTGGGGCATCTATTTCTTCAAACATGCTGCAATAACAATTAAATAGCACCTTCAATGTAGAAAAAAATTTCCAAATGCATCTAATAGAGACATAAAAGTAACAGATACCAAACCAACGAGACAGATTAGCAAGGATGACCAAACCTTGGTAAACAAAAAAGGGTTTCAAGGAAGATTTTGAGGTAAGAGAAGCAGGTGGATCAGTAATTCAGAGAATGAGATCCAATTACCTCAAGGTTGTAGCCTTTTTATATTCGTTGATGGGATGAAGGCATCACTGGCTAGGCCAGCATTTATTGTCTACCCTAAATACAGTACAGAAAGTAGTGGTATGAACATATGGAACAGGATCAGAAGTAGACCATTTGTCATCACAGACCTGCTCTGCCATTCAATATGGTTATAGCTGATTTGTTATATTTCAAATTCCACATTCTCAGCCATCCTTGAAAAGTTTAATTCCCTTGTCTAACGATCTATCCATTTCTACCTTAAAAATGTTCAATGATCTCCTTCTGAAGCAGTGACTTCCAAAGTAATATAAATAATATAACACTAAGGGGGGAAAAAATCTCTATTTCTGTCCAAAAGGGTGACCTCTCATTTTAAAACAGTGCTCCCTGGTTCTAGACTGATGCAGAAGATGAACAGTCTTGTATATGTCCACCTTATTGAAACCATTTCAACATCTAAACACTTCAATTAATTCATCCCTCACTCTTCTAAACTCCTGTGGAATCAAGCCCAGCCTTTCTAACCAGTCCCCATCAAACAACCCACATATTACAGGTATCAATCTAATTCCCTGAACGATCTCCAATACATATACATGTTTCTTAACTAAGCAGACCAAATTTGCAGAATTTGAAAAGTCATCCCACGAATACCCTATATAACTGAAACAGGGGGAGGCAATGGCCTGGTGGTATAATCGCTGGACTGTTAATCCAGAGACCCAGATAATGTTCTGGGGACCCGGTTCGAATCCCACCACAGCAGATGGTGGAATTTGAATTCATTAAAAAAAATCTGGAATTAAGAATCTAATGATGACCACAGTCCAAAGATGTGCATGAATCCATTGTCGATTGTCAGGAAAAACCCATCTAGTTCACTAATGTCCTTTAGGGAAGGAAACTGCTATCCTTACCCAGTCTGGTCTGCATGTGACTCCAGACCCACAGCAATGTGGTTGACTCTGAACTGCCCTCTGGGCAATTAGGGATGGGCAGTGAATGCTGCCTAGCCAGCAATTCCCTCTTCCAATGAATGAATAAAAAAAAATGTCCAATTCCTTTCATAATAAAGGATACCATCCCATCATTTTCTTGATTTAGTACTGTACCTGCATTCTAACATTTTGAGAGTCATGGACTAGAACATCTAAATCACTCTGCATCTCAGAATTCTGCAGGTTTTCTCCATTTAAGTAATGTTCACATTTTCCAATACTATACCTCAACTGCCAGTTTCAGATTTTTTGCTCATTCACTCAACTTATCTATGTTCATCTGCATATTCCTTATGTTTTCTTCAAAGGGTACTTTCCTATCTGTTTGGTGACATTCTTTGATGACACAGTGGTACAGTGGCTCAGTGGTTACTACTGCCGTCTCACAGTGCCAAGGACTCA